CTTATCGTCTCCAGTTCATGTTATTGCCTGGGCAAGGCATAGATGCAATTCTGGGAATGAACTGGTTGAGAAATTATGGGGTAGTCCTTAACCTTAGGCAGAGAATTGTTGAGTTGAAGCTTCCTTCTTCTGAGGATAGAATGTCTCTCCTTATGCCTTCAGTCCCCACCTTGCCAGTCGTTGCTCATACTAAACTTCTCCTGATCTTGCTTCTATTCCTGTGGTTTGAGTTTCTGAATGTCTTTCCTGAGGATCTACCTGGGTTACCACCGGATAGGGATATGGAGTTTTCCATTGAGTTAGAACCTGGTACTGCTCCTATTTTGCGGCATCCCTACCCCATGGATCCAAAGGAACTAGTTGAGATGAAGAAACAGATAGAAGAATTGTTGGAGAAGGGATTCATCCGTCCTAGTTCTTCACTATGGGGTTGTCCAGCTATTTTTGTGAAGAAAGACGACACTCTTCGGATGTGTGTGGATTATCGCCCTTTCAATGAGGTAACCATTAAGAACAAGTATCATTTACCTTGTATTGATACTTTGTTCGATCAATTGGCTGGTGTCAAGGTGTTTTCAAAGATTGATCTTCGTTCTGGGTATCACCAAATTAAGATCCGGCCACAAGATATACCAAAGACAGCTTTCTCTACTAGGTATGGGCTTTATGAATACCTAGTCATGTTTTTTGGCCTCACCAATGCTCCTGCATTCTTTATATATCTCATGAGCTCAGTCTTTATTCTGGAGTTGGATAAGTTTGTTGTGGTGGTCATTGATGATATATTAATATATTCTAAGAACAATAAAGAGCATGCATAACATCTTTGGATAGTACTGACTCGGTTAAGGGAACACAAGCTGTATGCCAAATTCAGCAAGTGTGAGTTTTGGCTGGATCGAGTGCAGTTTTTGGGACATGTCCTAACACCGGAAGGCATCTCTGTGGATCCTGGCAAGGTGCAGGATGTGTTAAATTGGAAATATCCAAAGTCAGTGCATCAGATTCATCAGTTCCTTGGTCTTGCTGGGTATTATCGGTGTTTCATCCCTGATTTTTCCAAAATAGCTCAATCAATGACCAAGTTGCTCCAGAAGAATGTCAAATTTGTATGGAGTCTGGCTTGTGAAGAAGCTTTCCAAGCCCTGAAGAAGTTTCTTACCTCTGCTCATGTTCTTGCCCAACCAGATATTGATAGGCCATTTGATATGTATTGTGATGCCTCTAGAACTATACTGGGATGTGTGCTTATGCAAGGCGGATGTGTGATCGCTTATGCTTCATGTCAGCTGAAAAAGCACGAGTCGAATTATCCCACCCATGATTTAGAGCTGGTTGCAGTGGTGCCGCTCTAAAAATTTAGAGACATTACCTGTTGGGAAATAAAGTACATATTTTTATGGATCACAAGAGCCTCAAATATATTTTCACTCAATCCAAGTTGAATATGAGGCAACGGAGGTGACTCGAGTTAATCAAGGATTACAATTTAGAAGTTCATTATTGCCCTGGAAAAGCTAATGTGGTAGCTGACGCCTTAAGTCGGAAGTCGTATCAAGTTGAAGAAGAATCTTTGTCTCTCAACCATGCGAAGGTGCTAGCTCACATTGCTCTAGTCTCGGATCTACTTGAGCAAATTATTATCGAGCAAAGGCAAGATATTTCAGGAATTCCTCACATTAAGAAGTTACTCGTCGAAGAGCGTAGTCCACATTTTAGTATTGATGATCAAGGTGTAGTGAGGTTCAAGAACAGATTGGTTGTTCCGTCAAGTGAGGAGATTAGGAGAAAGATTTTGAATGAAGCTCATAACTTCAAGTTATCCATTCATCCACGAAGTAAAAAGAGGTATCATGATTTGCGTCACTTGTATTGGTGGCCAAATATAAAACAGGACATTACCAAATATATCTTAGAATATGACATTTGTGGAAGGGTTAAGGCGGACCATATGCGTACGCCTGGATTTCTACAGCCATTGCCTATTCTTGTTTGAAAATGGGAGAATATTTCCATAGACTTTGTTGTGGGTTTGCCCCGCACGGCAAAGGGGTATGACTCTATTTGGGTCATTATGGATCGCCTCACCAAGTCTACTTATTTTCTCCCGGTGGATACAAGGTATTCAACTAAGAAGTATGCTAAGCTATTTTTTGATCGGAATGTAACTTTGCATGGAGTTCCTCTTACCATTGTTTCGGATAGAGGATCAGTCTTTGTCTCTCGTTTCTAGGAGCAACTCCAGAAATATCTTGGTACTCGTCTTCTTAGAAGTTCAGCTTATCATCCGCAAACTGACGGTCAAACATAAAGAGTCAATCAGGTACTTGAGGATATATTGAGGGCTTGTGTCATCTCTTTTTCAGAAAAGTGGGACTAATGCTTAACTCTAGCTGAGTTTTCTTATAACAATAGCTATCAAGAAAGCATTCGTATGGCATCTTTTGAGGCTATGTATGGTAAGAAATATAGAACACCTCTTAACTGGATTGAAGTGGGTGATCGTGGTTATTTTGGACCTAATTTTATCAAGGAAGCTCGAGAGCAAGTTAGTGTCATTCAGAGTCATTTGAAGGTAGCTCAGAATCGTCAGAAAACTTATGCGGACAAGCAAAGAAGGCCCTTACAGTTTAAAGTTGGTGACCATGTGTACCTAAAGGTATCCCCGATGAGAGATGTGCATCAGTTCGGAGTCCATGAAAAGTTAGCTCCTCGTTATGTCGGACCTTATAAAGTTTTGGAACGATGTGGTTCGGTTGCTTATCGTCTCCAACTTCCGGATATTTTATCAGCAGTACGTAATGTCTTTCATGTTTCCCAATTAAAGAAGTATTTACGAGTTCCTGAGAAAGTGGTGGAAATTGAAGGACTTCCTCTCCAACCTGATCTTTCTTATATTGAGCATTGTGTCAAAATCTTGGATGAAAAAGAGAGAGTTACTAGATACAAAGTGGTGAAATTTTATAAAGTTCAGTGGCAAAATTGTTCAGTGGACGAAGCAACTTGAGAGGATGAGAGGAGGAGAATTATATTCTGGAACATTATCCCCATCTTCTCCCCGGTGTGCTGAGGTAATAGTTTATGTTAAAAGCTCAATCTTACCTTTTTTCTACACTAGGCGCTCACATAAAATCTTGGGACGAGATTTTGTTTAAGGTGGAAGAGCTGTAACACCCTCGGTGTTACACCCTAAATCATTTACTAAAATATGTCATGAGCATTATGTTTATGTGTTAATGCATGTGATAGATTGTGTAGAAAAATTTCTTGTAACTTAAAATGATCAATAAAAATGCTAAATGAAAGTTGATTCAATAGCCCATGTATATCAAGTAGGGTTGAAAACCAACTTTTATTAAGCAAAAATACTATAGAATATGTGTGTGATACTTAAATAAAGTTTGAAGTACAAACTTTGTAGATGACAATGAAATACTTGTTGTCCAAAAATGATATTACTAACTAATATTTCTACTAGCCTAGAAATTACAAATTGAAATCAAGTTCAGCTCAAAAACTTAGAAAATTTCCAAGTTTGTCAACAGCTAGACATTGCTATGTTTAACAAATTATTTTAAGAGATTGGGTTAAAGGGTGATGTAGTGTTATAGCTCGATTTGATAGTCTCATATGCCATCTTGAGCATGGTGAAGATGGTTTGGCTCCTGCAGCAACCGCTTAATTGTTTTGGGCGCTTTAAAAGTCGTGCACGGCTCGGTCTCGGGCTGGTTGGCCGCGTGGGCGCGATCACCACGCTCGGGCGTTCGGCGTTGTCACGCCGATCGTCTGCAGACGCACGACGCACGCGCTAGCCGCGGCACGGCCACGGCCGTTGCTACGCTTTGGGGCGTGGCTCGCCATCGCTTGACTCTCGGCATGCGGAGCCATTGCTGCTGCTTGCTTGCCGCAGCGGCGGTGCCGCCGCCGCCCGCCACCACCCGCGCGACTACCACCCAGCGCGGCGCGCACGCAGCGGTGCCGCGCGTGCGCCGCCTCGTCGTCATGTCCGTGCCACCCTTTGCATCTCTGCGTCGCTGCCGGCCCAGTGCAATGCCGCCTCTGCCGCGTGCACGTGGCCGGGCTCGTCGTCGTCTTGTCATTGATGGCACTGCGGCACGTGGGCCACGCCGATCGCGAACGCACACGCCTGTCTGCTAGCGCCTGCGCGTGGGCCTCCACGTTCATGCCAACCGCATCCCGTCAAGGTGAGGACGAGCTGAGCCCACCTGTCGTGCCCCGTCTCTCTCTTTCTCCCTCTGCTGCCGCCAGAACTAAGTATTGTAATCTCGTACTCATTATTGGATTCTGGATGTAAAACGTGGATTGTTTTGAGTTCTCCCTTGGGGTGTGCTCGACAGAACTGTCTTGATGTAGCTCTCTCTCGAGGTGCTTAGTGTCTGTTGCAAGACGAGCGTCTCCGGAAACATGTTATTTTGGACGGTTCTGCTACGCAGCCCCACCGCCATCTCGGACATCTAAGCCACGTCTGGTTCGGCGATGCTGCCGAATGAGGCGTACACAACTGAGCGTGCCGGCCGAGCGTCCAGCCAGGCCTTCGTCGTCTCCGTCAGAGGTGTGAAGGGCCTGTTTGGTTTGTACAGGAGCTCCTAAAATTCCTGTCACATTGAATGTTTAGATACATGTATAGAGTATTAAATATAGACTAATTATAAAACTAATTGCACAACTTGCGACTAATTTGCGAGACGAATCTTTTAAGCCTAATTAGTCCATGATTTGACAACGTGGTGCTACAATAAACATGTGCTAATAACAGATTAATTGGGCTTAAAAAATCCGTCTCGTAAATTAGCCTCTATTTATATAATTGGTTTTATAATTAATATATATATTTAATGCTCCTTATTAGTCTAAACATTCGATGTGACATAAATTTTAGAAGCGACCGGACAAACAAACACCCCGAACATGTGGAAGCCGTAGGATGTGTCGTCCGGCAAGCGGTTGTCGAGGTAGGCCGACGGGACCGCTGGACCCACCGTCTTGGCTCTCCAGGTGGACGCCATGTAGTCCGATTCCTTTGCGACACGTGGATTCAGTGAGCACACGTACTCTGATCCAAAGTGGAGTGGAGTACGCACCTGAGGCTGCAGCTCATAGAACGAGTTGACCAAGACATGGTCGGCCGTGTCCAGGCCGCCGAACTGGTTCACCAGCAGGTCCAGGTACCCGCGATCGTCGGGATCGGTCAAGAACGTCGGCAGATCGGCTGGCCTGAGCCCGGCCGGAAGCCCGGGCAGGTCGAGCGGCTCCTCTTCGCCAAGCGCGAGCGGCGGCTCCACCCGCCCGGCCCAGGCGTGCCCGTACGCCACGTCCACCGCGCACGGCTGCGTGAAGAATGCTGCGCACGCGGCGCCGTGCCGCCGCCCCACCCGCTGCGCCCACGGCAGGAACGCGTCGTACACCAGCGTGCGCACCGGCCGCCCCTGCGCCGCCTCGGACCGGAGGAGCTCGCCCACGGTCTCCGACCCGGCCGACTCCAGCCGGGCCGTGTACGCCTCGATCCCGCCGGCCTCGCCGAAGCCGCCGCGGTCGCAGCCGTCGGAGATGGCGGCGATGTGGACGGCGCCGCCCGGGGACGGCTGCTGGCCACTCTGGCCGAGCACGAACCTGGTCACGGCGAGAGTGCACCGGACGCCGCGGTGCGCGGCGAGGCGCTTGCCGAACTGGAGGATCGGGTTGATGTGGCCTTGGCTCGGGTTCGGGAGCAAGACAACGTGGATGCTGTGCTCTGAATCTTGCTCTGCCATGGCTGGTCGCTCAGCTGCGTGCGCTGCGGCCTGCGGGCAGTGCAACTACAACAGCAGGCCTTGCTGATTACTTTTTGAGCCTACCGTGATGGAATGCATAAGCTTTAGTGCCGAAATGCTTGAAAATGATGACCGAGAGGTGACAGCACACGATTTGGTGGAAAATGTCGCTAGCTGTGTCATCTTACTATAACATCAATTGGACATATTTTATTTTCTTTATATAAAGTTACTCTCCTCATTTTAAATTATAATACGTTTTGATTTTTCTTTGCTAGATATACGGTTTTTACTATTCTCTTAGATAGTATATATTATGTTTAGATACATAGTAAAAGTAATGTATTTAGAAAAGATAAAATGTCTTATAGTTTAGAACAAAGGAAGTACCTATCACAACCATTATAAAAAAGAGGTTTTGTTTTCATACCTGTATTTTAAAAGTAAATGCTTTTTCATTTTGATGATTCCCCCCCTGCATTTTTAAACTGAAGATTATGTTTGTCCCTACTCCATTAGAAGGATCTAATGGTGTCAATTTATCCATAGGAAGACAACTTTGCCTATGCCGATTTGTTTTTACATTTTATAAGAAAACTTTATGTTTTTACTCTTGTTCTGATTTTGAATCATTTGATCAGCATTTTGAGATGTTCAAAAGAATTTGGTCACAAAGCTCTTACATACTTAGCTTGTCCAGAAGGTAAAAATAACATTTTATTTTTTATAGAACAAATTTCCAACAATAGAGTGTCACTCTTTTGAGACGACAGAGTGAGTATTAGGGCCTTGACATTAAAGGAAAATTTCTCCATGCCACACTGGCTCAGGGCTACTCCATAAGCAAGACTTCCAACATCTTCCACGATTTATTATTGGGCTTTGCTATAGTACCCTTAAATAATTGTAACCGCTCATTTAAACAGATCTTGATGCATATTGTCACATATTACTTCTTAGGATGTAATAGAAAAAATATATTATTTATTTTGGAAAGTAGTAAAAAAATTAGGCAAATATCTTGCAATTAGATCTAATATAATAAACATGCAAGTGCATGCAGGGGTGGAGACCATGGCGGGAAGAGGAGACTTAGGCCTTAGTTTTGCCCATTTGGTAGCCATCACTATATTGCATAGTACGAGCGAACAAATGTGATGCACGGAACACACGTGAGTCGTGACATATCTATTCTGATCGTCTGGTCCTTGGGGAAAAATAGCATCCTAGAACTTATGCATGCATGCCGAGCAGATTTAGGGAGGCATGGATGGGAGGCATAACGCACGCTGCATGCTACCCGGCAGATTTAGGAAGGCCGGCGTGATTGCCGAGTTTTTTCCTTTCCAGTTTCTAATTATTTCGGTTATTGATTATTTCCTTTTCTAGAAAATCAAGGGTCTAGATTTATCTGAGATCTTACCTCATTAAGAGTAACGGGTGTACCGTAGCAAGTCCCTTATTAGGCGAGTTTCGTGACGTTGCTTCCAAGACTGCCATGTCATATGAAATGAAATGAAAATTGGATGAAACACCAGCTCTCAATGGAGAGTTTCATTCTATGGTTTCATAGGCATTTAATTTTAAGACTCATAAATAGTTGGTAATCGTGCCAAGAGAGTTTCATCTAGATAAAATCCATATCTTTTCTTTTTTTCTTAAATATACTACCATGCCATCAAAATGCCTATGTGGCAACCTTATTACATTTACATAACGCATATTATTTAATAGCAGAGGGAATTTCAAGGAGAGACAGTGCTCGCTACAAATGCAGAACCAAAAGATTCGAAATTTTCTACCAAACTCATTTAACTTTCAGTCCTAGCTTGCCAAGAAACTCCATGATGTTGTTATCTGAGCTGCCACCTTCACTCATGGCCTTCCTAGCCTTCTCCTTCCACCGAGCTGCATTTTGCCGATACTCCATGCTCCTGTCGCCGTCCATCACCTCCCTAAATCATACTCCTGCTGCATTTTACGGGAGCAGCAGGACGTGGATGCTACTGCGCTCCGACGTGTGTGCGTGACATGTCACGTGTGTCGGCCATGGTTGGTCGTCGATCGCTCAGTGCGGAAGAGTGACTGTGGAGTGTGAACTGCAAGAGCGCGGCAGTGCGCAACCTTTTATACCAGCTTTGTGTGTGGAAAATCGATTGGTGCGTGACCGAAGCACGTGAGTTCATCTGGCTTGCATGTGACGTAAATGCTGCGCATCATCGTTCAGCAGTGATAATATATTATGCTGTACTTATTTGGTTGTCCAAGATCGACAACTTGACATCAAAAGAAGCAGTTCCAAATTGTAAGTTGGCAACAACAACAACACACCTGCACCTGGACTGCGTATAGATACTGCGCGACATGCTTTATGGTTGGTTGATTACTACACCAGAGTGCATCCACAACCACAGCATGGAAAGATGACATAGGGTATGACGTTACAAACAATTCTAAATGCGTGCAGTGGCGGTCAAGTAAGCATTTCTACCAAAACATAAACAGGGCGACGACACCCATAAGCTTCGTGAGTGCTGCACATGGCGGGCTAGGATCGGATGGCCATTCGCCCGTCTAGGCGTCGACGATCGGCCCGGCCGGCCGCTGTCAGGCTCACCGGCGGGATGGGTTGCCGTCCATCGGCTGACCAACCATCGTCGTCAGTGATGACATCTGAACCTTGTCCTGTGTCCTGTCCTCATGCTGGAAGAAGGGAAGGCTGATAATACCTCTGTCTCCTCTGCTGTACAATCATCCAGTGCCAAGGCGCCCTCTACCCAGTGGCGGAGCCAGGATTTCACGGCAGGGTATTCCATGTATAATTTTTTTTTCAATACAAATAAGCAACAGTAATAAGCAAAGTACAAATACGCAATAGTAGTCAGCGCCAGCGGCTCCTTTGAAATACCTGGTTGCCGCGGGCGCAGCCGCATCTGCGACCAAAGAGGTGTGTAGGGCCAAGGGGGAGCGCCGGAGTGGTGCTTTCGTGCCGTTAGTCTACGCCGCCGGCGCTTCCGATCGATGGCTCGATGCGAGTGACGAACGGGAGCACGGAGCATTGAGAGATGTCGATCGTTTCTGCCTTTTTTTTTTTGATAAATTCTGGAGTACGTGACTTCGTGCGTTGCTACTGCTGGTTGTTCTATTGCGCTAATGGGCCATATTTGCAGCATCCAACATACCAACATATACATGTATACTATATTTGTTTTGTTCCAAAATCATGGGTATTCCATGGCATACAGGGGCATACCCCTGCCGCCGCCCATGCCTCTACCGGACTTGTAGTACTGTCGCATGAATGAATGCGCACACGCAAGCTGCCGGGGCCACCAGGAAACGAGCTTTGGCTCCGTTCAGTTGGTTGAAAGGCAGTCTCAACAGTACTGTTCGTTGATTTGTCGAAGAGAAAAATACTGTTACTTCATTAAAAAAGTACGGGAAGAGAAATACTGTTACTTCGTTGAAAAAGCACGGCTGATAAACAAGGAATAGGGCCGTTGGCGTGCCGCTCGTCCTCCCCGTGGCCGCCGCCAACACGCCAGGTGCCAGGAGACCACGATGTCACAGTCTAGATAGGTTGGAAATGGAACTCGATCAGGGAGGAATCAGCAAGAACTGCAGGGAGAAGGTAGATGAGAAAGAGGAACGCAGCAGAACCCCATGAGGAAGGCGAGTTTTCAGCCCGCCAGGAGCCCACGACCTGTTATTTGGTCCTGCGGCTGTTAGCCCGTTACGGGCAGCAGACCAGTGAACCGTGATCCGTGAACAAAGGCCGCGGGCCACCAACCCGCTACAGTCTTGGCGAGCTGTGACTTCTCCTTGGAACATTTCTCCGGTACGGTGCCCCAAGTTAATCGTGAATTAATTAAAACTTACCGTACATCTCTAAATTACACATGAAAAATAAAAAATATAAATATATTTATTTTATTCTGACTCTTCTATTATCTTCTCTCCCGTGGCTTTCCTCGATACAAAATAAAATCTTGTTGAACACCAAAGGCAAAGTACAATCCTTATGCTAAATGCAACTATCAACCTCAAAACATCGAACGTGCCGCAATATCCAACGGTATAGAACCAGCTCAAAACGTATCTAAAACGATGAAGGAACATTGACAGTTGCATCGTCGGGTACAACATAGGCTATAGATCCATCGCTTTCAACCCTTAATTCGTCATTTATGTATGCTTTCCTCTGTACGATTATTGACTATGAGATTGATAACCCAGATGTCGGTGTTTCGAGTAAACACTAACAAGTAAATTTGTATTATTGCGCGTCTGGCCCGGATGGTGTGCTAAAAAGACACAAGTTTATACTGGTTCGGGTAGAATGTCCCTATGTCCAGTTCGTAGCTGCTGCTCGTGTTATTGGCACTGAAAAGTTCGTAGTAGGGGTTACAAACGGGCGAGAAAGGGATAGGTCCCAAGTCTCTGATGGAAAGGTCGAATAGGTGCCGAGAGCTCGATCGCTGCTCAGCTATGTGTTTGAGGTTCGATGCTAGTAGTTCTGTTGTGATGTGGTGTGATGTGCGATTTCGTGAACCGATGCCCTTTAGTGGGGTGCCCTGCTTTCCCTTTTATAGGCCAAGGGAGAGCATAGGTTATAGATGGGAGAAAAGAGGAAAACGAGAGGCAAAGGAAGTCCTTCAGGGTCGCTGGGTCTTCCTTTTCCTCCGTGCGGGCCCCATTGACATGGCAGGCGCTGACAGGGACAGTCCCACGCCGGGCGCATGTCCGCTGACCATGACAAGGCCACGCATTTTTATTCATGACAATGCCATGCCTCGCATTGTCGGCCGGTCGCCGACACTCCGATGGGGGCGGCGACTATGAGATTGATAACCCGCAGACGGTGGCTAGGCAATGTTGCGCCGCTGTTCACTGTGGGTGATGTGAGTTCCTCGGAATGACATGTCGGGGGACGGGTCGGGTTGATCATGTGACTGCCCCTCGATGCTAGAAGTTTGACCTTGGGTCACACCTTACGGACC